TTACATTTCGATTTCAAAAATGGTCTTTAGGGTCGTACCTAATTTATTGCGCTCCGTACAAAAATACTCACCTTCTCACCTTTATAGGGTATGTTAGAGGTCCGTATTACCCAAATACGCAAGGACTTTGCATCTGTGCCTATTGAAAACGGCGAAAATGGATGAAAATATGTTTTTAATTGATCGAAAAATGTTTACATGTATAGAGAAAAATGTTTTTCAATGACTGAAATTCTATTTTCATAAAACAAAAAATTCAAAAATGCGCATTGTCAATGTTGAAAATTTTCAACTTGTATTTTTATACGCAATGCGTATTTGGGTAACATTCATTGAAATACGTGTATTTAACTTTTGAGGTGAATAAATTTGTACGCATACGCATGAATTTAGGTACGACCCTTAAATGTAGTATTTTTTAATAATAAAAATTAAAGAAAATACTTTCATAGAGGCGGACGGAAAGGAAACCTATGCTTAAATCAGTTATAACCCGTTCGCCGATTGGTCCACATATTTTATGCTATGTGTGGAAATCTGTCCATTAATCCCAGCTACTCATGAAATCGAGGAGATTATGTTAGCCTATATTGGAATCGGTCCCTTGGTGCTTGTCACAATCCTCGGCGGATGTTAAATACTCCTATAGAAAGATTTTATACGGTTAACACAATTTACATGATTTAGTCTTTGGCCGGGGATTGAAATTGAAGGACATACAATTTTCTTTAAGAAGGCAAAATTTGAAGCCACTCCATATATAAAATAGATATATAAACAACATCACAAGGAGCCATGGGCTGCATGTGGGAAATTTAAAATTAATCGCGACCAGTTCTTAAACTTTATTTTTCATTCGCTTAATACCGCCAATAACCCAAGAATACTCAAATTCATTAATAATTCCTAAAAGAATAGTTCTTGACAAAAATAAATTAATAATTGTTTTTGTTTATTTTTGTCAAAAACTTATTGTCAGCATGACAATTTAATTTCTATAAGAACAATGTTGTTTTTGTAAAATATTTGTAGTTGTATCTGATGCATACACCTTATTAAATACACCTTGATACCATGGGCTGTTAAATATAAGGAAATTTAACTTGATGTCAACAATGAATTTATATGTCGAGAAACATTACAATCAGAACTTTTAAAATTTCATGCACTCTAAATATCATTATGTCCTAGCCTTTTTACAACCGAATCAGTGCAACATTTGACTTCCTCGATGTTTTCTTCAAAATCATAGGTGACAATGTATTGGAATACCAGGATGTTATTCATTTAGTAATTGCAATTTGATTAGGTTTACTGGAATAATCGTCAAATCAAAATTATAAATTATTGCTTTCAAACTGACCTTCGACAAACTGTACGCCGTTCATAGTATTTGCAATAAAACATTCGAATTGTTATGGTCAGCATCCATAGCGGCTGTGATTTTTTTGTGAATGCGGGTTATGCAAATACGCATTTTGTTTGTTGTAATGGGGCCAATGCATTTGCGATAACCTTTTAATCTCGGTTTCTTGGCTGAATACGCCGCTTACGTCGTTAAAGTTTTGTCCTCCGACCGATATTTATAAACAAATACATACATTTGATTGGAGTACATTGTTCATCCATAGATTATTTAAAAGCTTGATCACGAGTTGCGTGCTGCATTTTTTTAAATAAAATCAAGACAAGTAAAGTTTCTTTATTGGAAATCTGGTTTTGTATTTTTAAAATAATTATTGATTTAATTTTAAATCTGTGCAAAACAAGCATCAACTTAAAATATACATGCATATATATAGCGCTACAGGGTTTGGATCAATGTGGAAAATCAGTTTAGAATGTTGTATAGTTATCAAATTATCATAACCACACCTATAAAATGTAAAAACATATTTTCAATTAAATATTATTCCTGTCGGTCTCAAAATTTATCATTCATCTGAAGGTTGAACGTTTTGTTGTAGTTGCACCTAATTTATATATATAATCAATTTAGGTAGTATTTTTTCCCGAAAAGGATAATCGGGGGACACAAATTGTTACACAAATATTCATCCTATTTTATGTATATGTGTTTGATCAAACAGTAAGGACTTATGCCCACACAACCGAATTTGATTATGTCAAATGTTTAATTGAACTTTACGTTTATACAGTAGTGGATATTTGTTTGAGCGCATATGATGTTTCTGAGATTTTACTAGGAAACACATTTTTATTATATATATTTTTTTTTAACAAAATGGTGAATTTATTTAAGGCATCGAATATGAAATACAAACCAAAAACATTTTTCATATACTTTTTGAGCGGAAGGAGCGCAGCTCATTTATTTATTCCATTCAATAGTACATAAGCCTCCAAGACCAAAAATTAAAATAAATTTACGTTAAAAACAAACTTCAAAATATCGTTGCCATTAAATTAATAATCAGCATGTCCATCGCTATTTTAGGGAACAGATAGAATACGGTTTAACATAGAGTATACAAAATGTTGGACAGCATTTATGCTGATAACTACCAGCATTCCTTCACAGTATATTTAAGGTAATTTACAAACAAATAATTAAATACACATTTCAGAATCTATTTTGGTAGACACATCACAAAGTGGAAGCTTATATTCGTATGAATATGAAGCGCATACCATATGACTTCCCCCCAGAAGTTCGGCTTCGATCTTACCATATGTTTTTTTACACATATCGTTTATGTTACAACTATAATAATTTGGTCCTTCCAAAAACAACTTATTCTCGTCAGAAAATATAATAATTTATAATTTATTTGTCCATGTCATACGTATTTATCGAATTCCACAAATTTTACTTGTAAGCGTTCCTTACACGTAGCTTGGTCATTAGTTTAGTCCATCTTATTTAAGGAGTAGACTCTAAATACCTTGAAATGTATGTTACATATTGTAACATATAGCTGAAAAAATCTCCTAATTTTGTTGTCGGAATATCGATATTTAGCTGGTTTCTTTTGAATTCGTCCTTTATCTCTTAAAGTAAAATTGGAATTGTCCTTGTTGGCACTCTGAATGATTTATTAATTTTAAAATTTTTGTAGTAGAAAGAAAATATTTCCATATAGAATTCATGATATTTATCTCCGTACAATATGATAGTTAACCGATCCCATTTATACAAAAAATATGAATAATTTATTATTCTTTTTAATTTTTCTTTTTTGAATTACTTCCTGACATACAGCTTACAAATATTTTGTATCCACTCTAGTCTAAGTCCCAATTTAGATTAGGCGAGTTTACTTGTGGCAAGTCTTTGACTATAGGAGAGAGGGGCAAGGGGAATAGAAATGGAAAAAATTGCTCGTACCAACAATTTTCTGGCAATTCGTTTTGTGTATTTCGTATTTGTTGACATTTTATATTTATTTAAATGTGAAAAAAACTATTGACATCAAATGAAAAAAGAAATACTTTCGACACCGAATTGCCTTGTATAGACGCATGAAGCAAGTTCAAAAGGGAACGATAATAATTGCCGCAAGTATACTCGCCTAATATAAATCAGGACTAAGTTTTTTTTTATTTTTTACAAAATATGCCTTTTTTTAGTTATTTAAAAAAGTGTATAAAAACATTTTTGGTTTGTATTTGATATTCGATACTTTAAATAAATTCACCATTTAATTTAAAAAAAAAATATATATATAATAATATGTTTTCATAGGGAAATCTCAAAAAAATCATATGCGCTCAAACGAATGCCCACTACTGTATTCGATGTAGTATATATTACAAAAGGAGAACAACAAATACATTTGTTTATGCATGTGTTACTAAGCTTTCCATGATACGAAGTCGGGGAGGAATATATCATTAATATCGAATATACACTGCCTATCATAACTATAGACGCACCCTTAATTCAATTGGTATGTTAGTTGAGAAATAAAATGGACCCATAAGGAATCCGATCGAGAACATGTGTGGAATCTTGACTCATCGTGTCTATGCAGAAAACCTCCAATACCAAACTGTATTTTACCTCCAAGAAGTGATTTTCGATGAAAGGCGGTCAATCGATGAAGACTTGCGAATAATTTTGATCAACAGTGTGATGGATAAAATTTTTGAACTTATTCAAAATAAGGGAAGGCCCTACCCATTATTTATAAAAGTTATTTTATTTAAGTATTAAAAAATTAATTTTGTAAAAGTGCGTCTATAGTTATGCAGCACCAGCAATTTTGAAAGTGCAGAATTCGGCGAAACCATAAAGAATAAATTAATTATTTTTGTTGAAGAATATGTGTTTTTGATCGTTTTATTGTGAACAATAACTTAATGGGTCCATTTTATTTCTCAACTAACATACCAATTGAATTAGGGGTGCGTCTATAGTTATGATACGCAGTGTATTAATTTCTCTGAACAGAATATATTAATTTCTAAATTTACAGTAGACTAATAATTATAATAATTGATGCATTGAAATGAAGATGTTATATATTTAATTACGATTTATGTCTAACTTCATTTGTAAATCCAAATCAACACTTGTCAATTCTGGTAAAAAGTTCACCTAAAAAAGTCCTTAGGTGGGTTCTATTTCCGTCATATTTACTTATAAACAGACACAAAAAGTTGTAGTTTTTGCAAGGGAAATGCACAAATTATTTTTGTCAGTGCAGTATTGGTTCCTTCCGGAATGATTCGATAGACAGGTTAATGATTTGAAATTTGGGCAATTAACATGCCCAAATTTCAAACTAGAAAACATAATGAGGTTTCACAATTAATAAGCACAACACAGTTTTACGCGCGATAATCTTGCAAAATCGGATCACTAATTTATTTTTAGTAATAACTCATTAATTTAGTAATAACTCAAATGAATCTTTTATTTGTCTTACCTTGTTGTAATTGTACTTTCATAAAAATCCCATATTGATAGCATAGTTATATATATATATATTTAAAACCTTTTCTAACTTACTGTGATTCTTTTGTGTACTTTACAGAAAACTTTTATTCGCCAACTCCTTTATTGGATAATTCAATCGAAAGCCCTGTCGTCAATCCCATTCAGGCGATAAAGGTACAAACTCCAACCGAAGTACATCACTTCAGTTTTGCCAATCATAATGCTTCGGTTTTAACACAATTAACGCCGCCAAGTTCGCCGCCTCAAACAGCAGCTTCGTCGCCAATACCAACATCGTCATCGCCAACCAATTTGGATGCGGTGACAGCAGCCAATCAAATACCAATAGACGTAAGATTGGCATTAAATAATAAAATTTAGAAAACAATATTTTATGTGCTTTCCATTACTTTCAGATAAATGATGTTTTACAGCAAAATCATTTGAGTGGTTCCGAACCAACTTCACCAATTCCGCAAACACAACAATTTACCTTTGCTAACTGGAATAACAGTTCGTCCAATCACCAAGAAACTGCAACGACAGATGCAAGCTCTGAGGATGACATTGAATTCAATACACAACTAATTGATGACATTTTGAAATCTGCTGCCGACAAATATTTTGAGGATAGCGAAACACAATCATCAATTTCAGCTCCATCCCACTTAGAATACACCGACGACGAATGGCTACCATCTTCAGGCAGTTGTTCGCCACTGCAACAACTGTCAGCTGAAAACTTCAGTGAGACATCAAGCGGTGCATCGTCACCATTACCGGTCAAAAAAAGAACTCGCCCCTATGGCCGTGGTGTTGAGGATCGCAAGATCAGGAAGAAAGAACAGAATAAGAATGCGGCTACTCGTTATCGTCAAAAGAAGAAGTTGGAAATGGAACAAATTCTCATGGAGGAACAAGAATTGACAAAACGCCACGAGGAGCTCAAAAGTCAGTTGGCTGAGCGTAAACGCGAAGCTAAATATTTGAAAACGCTCATTAAAGAATTCTATTTGAATAAGAAATTGTAAATCCTCACACTTCTATTGTTGCAGTACAGTCTCCTGGAAATCAAATCTCCATTCTCATACAACTTTTTATTTTATGTTTATTTTTACGTTAAGATTTTTTAAATTTACTTATATATGCATGTCGTTTGCAAAATGTTCTTCGTAGTTTTATATTTATGATGTCACATGTCCCGAAATTTTTATATTTTTCTCTATGACTTCTTTTATTATTCAATACAAATGTCCGAAGCGTATTTAATCGATGTTAAAAATGTTATTTGTTTATTTTATCTAACTTGGCACCGATGACATGATCAATTTTTAAAGATCATTGAATTTATTTTGCCAGTTCGATAGAATAGACCTTACATGCTCGTGGAACATCTTTTATTCGATAGAAACCCTATTGAAAGAAATCTGTAAGAAAATTCATTTTTACATCAGAAAATATGTTTCATATTCATTTTATAAATAAATAAAGGGTTTACACATACGAATGTTGGTGTTTTAATGTTATTACGTATGGTATTGTTGAAATTGTTTTGCAATGATGTTTTCTATCAATTTGATCTGAATATTTTACAGATATTTACAGTTAGACAATTTTATAGAAAGTAAAACATGCACTCCTGAGATATTTTTTTAGTAGTTGTCATGTGGAACATAACCACAAGCCGGGCAGATATTTTTGACCGCGCCGTCAATTCGTGCCCATCCTGATCTTAATTGTACCAAGATCACTTTGGCTTGTCGTGGCAGCTGCTGCTCTTCTGCAGCTATCATAGGCGGGCGATCGCCTAGGATTGTATTCACACGATATTCTCGAATTAAAGATAGCCGCATCTCCGCTGTCCATGTTGTAAACAGTGTGGCCGTTAGTGGCGAATATTTCCATATTCCTCGCCCGGAAAAAATCTGCAAAATCCACGATATAGTGGTTCAGCCTCTAGCAAATGTCAGTTTTGGTTCCTGGCGCCGTGATCGTACAATCATCTGCGTATGTTACGGTTGGCGTTGAATTTCAGAAAGGTGGAGGCTAAACAGTTCCGCAAATGTCACCCCTTCCTGGGGAACTCCCTGTTTAACTCTTCGAGCCTTCGACTTCCTGTCTCTGAATTCCACGTACGACTGGCGTCCACACATATAATTCACGATCAAACGCTTCAAACTTGGCTGGAAGGTTGTTCTCTCGACGTACTCGAACAGTTTGGCATGACTTACGGTATCAAAAGCCTTTGATAGGTCCAGCACCACCATAACTGTCCTGCTACACGGCCTGTTCTTGAGTCTTTCCGTTATATGTGTGGAAATGGCGTGCAAAGCTGTCGTTGTACTGTGCTGCTTTCGGAACCCATGTTAATGATCAGCAACTAAGTGGCATTAACGAATACTAGGGAGTACCAGTGCCTCAAGTGTCTTAGCTACTGGCGGCAAAAGTGAGATCGGCCTGTATGACTCACTTTAGCTGGCATCTTTACCTGGAGCGGGAGCACCCTGCCCATTTTCCAGGCATCGGGAACTATTAGCGTGACTAATGACAAGTTGAGGATTTTACTTCGGTACTCTACTCCTGGTTCATCAAGCTGCTTCAACATCACCATGGACAACATCACCAAGCACATGTTCCTGGCAACCGGTAATTTCTCTTGGTTCGCACCACTTCCCCATCATCCTCTCCGTTTGCGATATGATGAGAAGTAGGAACATGGCGCTTGCTGGCAGATCTTTATTTTCCTCCAGGGTTTGTGAATGTAAACGATTCGGGAACTATTAGCGTGACATTATTTTAAAATTATGGGAGAAACAACAAAAAAGATGGCTGCATAGATAGCACATTTATAAGAAAAATATACTTATATTTAAATGTAGTTTTATTATCCCTCGAACGATTGAAAATAGGATATATCAAAAACGCTGACCGATATGACCATCTCCTATTTTTAATGTCAATGGTTCTGGATATTATAAAAATGTCCCTATCAAAAATCATTTTAATGTTTTGTTTTACTGACCTAATGCTACATCCACATAAAATGTGTTTGAAGTTTCTCCCATATAATTCATTAATAAATATATTTATAGTATTATATTAAGATTAAATATCGGATTTTATTATCTAAACAATTATAAATTATGTAAATATTAAAGGGAAAATATAAGGGTATTTATTTCAAATCCCTTGATAATAGTTCGAAACGTGTTACGACCTTTATCGTACACTTTCAGACACACCTGTCCCCTCCTGGCTTTAAATGCGTCCACTTCATCGTTGCACATATCATTTAATTCCAGTGTTATGCATTTCATATTTGGTGAATTAATGTGATACAAAGATTTGCCCTTCCACTCATAGTTGCCGATAATCGAAAGTGTTTCCAATCGGGTACATTTTTCCACAATTGGTTGTAATAATTCATCAGTTAGTTGACAAAAATTTAAATCCAAATGTTGCAAATGTGGTGCTAACCTCAAAACGCAATGCTGATAAGCATCATTGAATTGTACATAATTCAGTGTTAAATCCTGGATAGATCCATGAAAACACAATGGATTCAGATACATGGAAATGAACTTATCAGTATCTAGTGAATAGCCCACGGTGACTCTTAGTGTCTTTAAAGTTTTGCCAATTACTTTTAGTTGATACGGTGTGAACTCTGGAGGGTCTCTAAGACTAAAACTGAGAGACTTGAGTCGGGCGATGCGTTTTAGAGCAATACTATCAATGCGATTTCCCAATTTGTGTAAAACATCAAAGGTCTCCTGAACAGTCAAGTATTTGAAAATTTCCAGCAAGCAGTCGTCATTCAAATCCAAAATATTAGTTTCATCGGGTGGATTCCTTATCTGTAAAAATATATGTATGAACGTTTGTGAAAGTATTTCGTATAATAGTAATATTATAAATGGTCCATGAATTGTTTTTAATGCGTTGTTCTATTGTAAGAATAATTTTTGGATCACTTCAATTTGCCCTACCTATGGATCTGGCCATTTTCGAAAAGATGTTTGAATTTTATCGAAGGAAATTACCTTTACATCATTGCAAGGTGATACTTCATTCGATTGCTGCATTTTTACTCTGATTTGGGAGATTGAGCATTTGTTTTAAATTCTGGAATATTTCAATAAAAAACAAAACACAGTAGTCAGCTGTTGTCGCATCCACCCAGTCATACCAACAAATAGTCACTTTTGAAACATGGTTGTATTCATGTCCGAAACGTTGAAACACACTTGTATTTGGAAATTGGAATTTTTATATGGCAGTGCTATTCCGGACAATAACGTTATTTTTTGTTATTCGAAATATATTTTAAATGAATATAACCAATCATATGATTTTAAGCTATTTTATTTGTAAAGAAAGTTCTCAAACACGATTTTCGAAGTCATATTTTTTTTACTAATTTAAAACATATGTATATTTTCTTCATTTTTGTAACTAGAATAATGCGAATGGAAGAAATGGCTTCCAATCTTTCCTTCTTAATAGAAACAAAGAAGATTGGACAGTATCAAAAGTATAGGTGTATGTCAAAATCGGCTTACCGCAAAATCTTTAAAATCAACAAATTAACAGAAGAAATAAGATATTAAGGATAACCTACAGAATTTCTTTTTACATTGTAACGATTTTGCGCGTAGCAGATTAATGTTCTCATCTATCGATAGACCTTTAATAAGACGGACTGCACAACAAAATTGTAATGAATACTCGTATGTGGTTAGCCGATTTTCCACCATATATTTTGAAACACGCTAATGGACAGATTCCAATACTTAACATAATCTCTTTGATTACGCTATGCGAGGAGATTATGTTCTCCTCGGAAATTGTCAAGTATTCGTGAGAAAGTACAAGGGTGAAAAAGGCTATAAGTACTGATCTATTTGGGAAAAAATATCACAATGTTAAAAAAAAAATATATTAAAACAAATTGATTTATAATGCTAAAGGGAATATTAATAAAAAATATCATTGAAAATATCTTAATTTAGATATATGGTATATGAAAAAGGTCAATTAAAACACTATATATATAACTCTAATTATGTGACCGAATCAGAGTTTTTATTATTATTAAGTCTATAGATTACAAAAATCCTTACAGACTAAACTAAAAACTACAAACATTTAAAATACAATAAATAGTATTATTATATTAGGTATTTAAATGTAATATAATTTTTCTTTTTACGATATTACAACTATCAGAAAGATCGAAAATATTGTATAATTTATTAAATTCAACAAACAGGCGGCGAAGGGGGTCATTATTTGCATACGGTCTGTTCCGGTACTGCAAGAATCTACTAGATTTTACTATTTTCTTTCGATGGCATAAAGGAAAATTCGTTATCGAAGTAAAAAGTAGTAGATTCTTGCAGTACGGGAAGAGGTCAGCAGTTAGTAGAAAAATACTTTATTTGTAGTAGCTGATAGTTTCGAGATGGCCTTAGGTTAGGTTAGGGATGTAAGGTTGTTGTGACAACCGTCCACTCGGAGACTATGTCCATTGTGATCATCCTTTATGTATATATACCTGTAAAGAAAAGAGAGAGTGGAAGAGCAGGGAGAAAAGATAGTGAGAGAAAAGGAGCGGAAGAGAGGTTATTTTAGCCAAGTCAAATTTTTGACAAAGCCTAGAATTCAGTATGGGTCTATTTTGGAGAAGAAGAATAGATTATCAATTTCATATCTTCCAAACTGTTTGTGTCATCTGCTAATCAGCGATGGACATTTGCAGAGGATGTGTTCAATTGTTTCCAGTTCTTCTTCGTCCTCACATAGACGACAGCAATCCTCTCCACTGGAGTCCCACTTAGAAGTGAGAGATCTAATTTTGCAGTGACCTGTTATAATCCCCACAACGATTTCGATCACCCTCTTATTGTGTTTCAACAGCGAAGACGTTCTTTTTCGAGAGAATTCAGGCCAGATAGATTTTGAGATTCTGCAAACAGGTTCCCTTAGCCATCTGTTACCAACTACCTCGCAATGGAACGCACGGATTCTGCCAATGAAATAGCTGATGGGAGGTTTCACAGATCTCTCAATCAGAAGATTGGACGACTGTGAGCCCCCTCGAGCAAGCTCGTCGGCTATCTCATTCCCTTCAATGTCGTTATGTCCTGGAACCCAACATAAACCAACTATCTGTCGTATATCATTCAAAGCGGACTTACAATCATGAACTGCTTTCGAGTTTATAGTCGCCGGTCCCGTGATGTCGGCATTAAGTGCTTTTAATATCTCGGCTGCTTTTGTGATTGCAAGAATCTCTGCTTGAAAAACGCTACAGTTATTGTTAAGTTTATATGAGTTGTATATTCCTAATTCCCTACAGTAAACGCCTGCGCCAGTGCCTTCCTCCATCTTAGACCCGTCTGTAAAGATTGACAGACCTGACAGAGGTAAGGAGCCACTAGTCCAGGATTCCCTACTAGGAAATTCAACTTTGATGCCATTAAAGTCCCTATGAGGGGGAATATAGTCACTGATATGACTTTTCCCCTTAAGGGGCGTTATATTTAGGATGCTGGCATGACCATAGTTCAGCGATTTCAAGGCATCCGTTTCCCGGAGTCTCAGGGAACACCTGGCAGCCAGGAATTTAATTAGAATATTCAATGGTTGGAGATTCAAAAATGCGTTCAAGGCTGCCTGGTGTACTTCTTAATGCTCCGGTGATTAGGATTGAAGCCGATCGCTGTACTAAGCTCAATTTTGTCAGCAGCATATTTTTGTTAGCCCCCTGCCACCAAACAAGCCAACTTTAGGTAAGTATGAGCGACACGATCGTCGTATTCAGCCAGTGTATAATTTCGGGTCTCAATCCCCAGCTCTTGCCTATGGATGAATAGAGTGCCATCTATCCCTTCTTAGAGCGTTCCTCAACATTCCTATTCCACAATAATTTGCGGTCTAAGATGGTGCCAAGATACTTAGCTTCTTCAGAAAGGGTTAAAGTCACTCCTCCAAGTGATGGCAGACGGAAACTAGAAATCTTGCGTTTCCTAGTGAAGAGCACCAGTTCGGTTTTAGTGGGGTTTACACCAAGACCTTTGGTGCAAGCCCAATTAGAAAGGATTGAAAGTGCACCCTCCAAGATGTCTGCAATTGTCGTTAGAAACTTACCCCAATCCAGCAGGACCACATCATCGCAAAAAAAATAAAAGAAATTGCGTTTGTGCCGATTATATAGAATTTGAATGAATTGTATAAGACGGATCCATATTCTAAAATACAGCGAACAAAATATATATATATATATATATATATATATGCTTTATAACTAAGGGACTAGCAAATTCTTTGCATCATCGCTTAATAAATCCTAATTATTTATAATCCTAACAGATCAAAAGGGAGATATTTTCTCTAAAATCGAAACGATTATCTAAATGAATTCCTAGATCAGTCATAGAATCAAAATATTCAACTCTCCGATCATGTAATTAATACATAGTTTTAATCCTGTTTATCCTAAAAAATTACATATGTTTGCATTTCATATTTCGTTCTAATAAATTTATATCGCACCATTTATTGAAACTATTTAGATCAGCTTGTAATATTTGTTGGTTTTGTATTATTATTAACTGAATGGAAAATCTTTAAATCATCTGTATACATTAACATATGTGACTGGGAAAATCATTTATAAATAATGAGAGATATAAAAATAAACGCAAATATCGCAAAAGAAAAAAAGTTGCAAAAATACAGAACTGAAGTACTTAAAAGCGTAATTGCCGCGATATCAAGATCTATTAAGCGTACATAAATGCCAAATTAATCATAATGAAGCAGTTTATCACAGTTTATACGTGCTTTAAGTTCCTTATAGTACAATTCATTAGTATGCACACGAATTAAAAAAATATTTTATCAATTATCACAGTTTATACGTGCTTTAAGTTCCTTATAGTACAATACATTAGTATGCACACGAATTAAAAAAAAAATATTATATCAATTATATTATTGTTTCACCACACTGTGGCACAGGGTACTATGGCTTTGTGCATATGTATGTAACGGGAAAAAGGAAACGAGATAGACACATGGCTAATTGTGTGTGTGTAGAATCACTTTCTGAGTCGATTCATGAAAGTCCGTCCGTCCGTCTGTCCATGTTAAATTGTGAACAAAATATAGGTCTCATTTATGATCCGAATTAGATAAAACTCAGCCCAAGGACGAAACCTATTGAAATTGGGAAAAATCGGTTCAGATATAGATATAGCACCCATATATATGTATGTTGTGCATCAAAGACTCTATATACCTTTCGATTTGCACGAAATTTAGCATAGCGTACTGAATGAAGTATAAAATGATGTGTGTTAATTGTCGATAAAATCGGTTCGGATTTATATATAGCTCCATATATATTTCCGTCCGATTTTATGTTTATGGAGCACCAAACATATCGTAATAAATAAAGTTTAGAATGATATGTGCTAAGTTTCGTGAAAGTCGGTTCAGATTTGGTTATAGCTCCCATATATCCTAGCACTTTTTTTGCATTGTTATTTTTTGTTGGTTTTTTTTACAATTGCCGGTGTTTTTGGCTTCATTTCAAAAAAATTGCCAAAATGTGGACCGATACTTTTTAGGAAGATGATTTGAATCAAAAATAAAAAATGGATAACCCCACATATCAAATTACAACAAATTAGGTTGCAAAAGAATTAGTAGTAAGAGGGTGTAATGCATAATTCAGAAGTACAGATGTCATTATTTGTTTAAGTACTTTTTTTTAAATTTTACAACATTCTAGATTTTTTTTTCAAAAAAAAAAAAAAAAAAAAATCCAGCATTTTTTTCTCAACAAAATTTTGGCAGCACTGGTTAGGATGCATATGTTGAATCTTGGCATAATTACAGAAGGTAGTCTCATTTGAGAAATTAATATTGGCAACCATTTTTAATTTGGAATTCATCTATCAATTTCAAATGGTTTGAAAAATAAATTCCATAAAATTTTATGCATGTCGATTGGCCTATTTCTTAAAAAATTAAAAAATGTATATTTTCTAAAGATTATATTCATAATTGCATATAA